TGTGGACCATGATTAAAATTAAATAATATAAATAAAATATTATTTATTTATTCTTTTTATTTTATTAGAATATAATAAATTTTATTACAAGTGGACTTGCACCTCTGTGGACAATGAGTAAGAAATTTAATTAAAATATGTTTTTTATTTTATTTTATTTATGATTAAAATGAAATAATATAATTAAAATATAATTAATTAAATTTTTTATTTAATTAAAAATTTATTTTATTACAGGTGGTCTTGTACATCTGTGGACGATGATTAAAATGAAATAAAATAATTAACATATTCTTAATATAATTTCTTTGGTTGCAGGTGGTCTCGCACCTCTGTGGACGATGTTGTTCTTATGGCACCAGTGGATGGCTTTGATCAGCTGGTTGACGTAGATCCGGACCTTCTCCGGTGAAGCTCCGTTGGGCATGTCCTCCAGCAGCTCCAGCATGTTCTACAACACACACACACGATCATCTCAACAAACCTTATAAATTATATAAATTATAGTTAAATTATATTATAGATGTTATATATATATATATATACATATATATTATTTACATATTTTGTGATGTTATATTGTTTATTAATTATATTAATATTTAATGATTACATATATATATACATACACTGTATATATTATAATTTATAATGTACTTGTTTTATATTTATTATAATTAATTTATTAACTATATTTTTTATATTTCTTTATTTTTTATGGTGTTTTATATCCTCATAATACTTTTGTTTTATTATATTATGTTGTGTTGTTATTTATTAAGACATTTTGTAATCATCAGGAGAACACAGCCCGAAGATCTCAGCGCTCTCCGTCTCATCTCACCTTCTCCACGTACTCAAACACCAGGTACAGCTTCCCTCGCTGCCGAAACGCCTCCTTCAGCTCCACGATGTTCTCCTGCTTCAGCGTGCGGAGCATCTTCAGCTCACGCATGGTCGTTTCCTTCACCTCCTCATTTTCTGAACCAAGAGCCACGATAAATAAACATGCATTACAGCTTATATTTATTTAAACAGAAATATAACAGAAACAGATTTGTCACTTTCAATTAAAAAAAGAACAATGTTACATTCTATCAGTTGTAACACAATGTAAAACATTACTTTTAAAAGTAATTTTTTTTTTTTTTTGCATTATTTATATATTAATTATAGTTTTTAATTATTAATATTTTGAGTTGTAATGATTACATATATATATACATACACTGTATATATTATAATTTATAATGTACTTGTTTTATATTTATTATAATTAATTAATTAACTATATTTTTTATATTTCTTTATTTTTTATGGTGTTTTATATCCTCATAATACTTTTGTTTTATTATATTATGTTGTGTTGTTATTTATTAAGACATTTTGTAATTTTGTTTACATTTATAGATAGATAGATAGATAGATAATTATCAAATATGAATTAAAATAAAATGAAATATAATTATTAAAATTTAATTTGACATTTTATTCATTTTTTATTTTATTTTTTTTTCAAAATAAGTAAATCAATAAAAATAGAAAGAATCATCCAGATGCATTAAAGTAATAAGAATTTAGGGTGGCAAATGTGTTAATTAAATTAAATAACTAAAACAGATTTTATGCACAATATAACTTTCTTTTTATTTCATAGTGAAATGTCCCTGTCCACTGAAACAGTAAGTGAAGAGAACAATGAAGATGTCCTCTGGTCTGCTGTGTAACGGTGATATGGACACACACTCACCCCAGCAGCAGCTCCGGGGATCGGTACCATCTGGTCGCCACATACTCAGTGTAGTTCGCATCGGTGCTTTCAGAGAGATCCCGCGCAAAACCTGCCAGAGACACACACTGGATTAGCATATCAACCTCACATTAACAGAGCCAAAGTGAGCTGATTAAGCATGTTAAAGAAATAACTGAGACATAAACGACATCTTATAGGTGATTTTTCTGTCGTATGTGATGATTTTAGGAGGACAGAAGATGCGCATGTGTGTGTTTGCTTGCATTTCCCAATCAAAACAATATCAGTGTTTCCAGCAGAATGGAGAACAGACAGACAGACTGAGTCTGGAGTGAGAGAGAGAGAGAGACAGACCACCTAGTTTTAGTTTTAGTTTTTATTTCCAATTTAGTAATTTTAGTGCTTCAACTTAAACTTATTTCAAGTATTTCTAATGTAGTTTTTGTCTAATATTTCTATTATAGTTCAGTTTTATTTCAGTTAATTTAGTATTATTTAGTAATTTTATTTATTTTATTTTAGTAATTTTTTAATTTTATTATTTTATTAATTTTATTAAAACTTTTATTTTATATTTTCAGGTTTCATTTTAACTATTTAATTTTCATATTATTTTCATATTTTTTTTAAATTGTCATATTTATTTAATTTTAATTTATTAAATTATAAAATATATTTTAAGTATTCAACTAATATATTTTTTTGTTTGTTTTGATTTATTTACAATTAGAAATTTTAGTGCTTTAACAAACTTATTTTAGTAATTTCTAATGTAGTTTTTCATCTAATATTTATATCATTTATTTTATTTCACCTTTACTTCAGTTAACAAAAATGATTTTAATAGTTGTTGTTTTAGCAGCATTGGAACAGAGTACAAAGACGTGTTTATGTAAAATTATGCAAATTAAAACCTTAATTAAAAACATTTTATATAATTTGATGCTAACTTGTTTATTTTACATATTTTTTCTGATATAGAACATTTATAGAACAAATGCTCTTCTATAAAGTTGTAAATAAAAAAGCATATATAATGCATATGAATTTTTATTCACAATTTGATGTTAAATTGTTTATGTTTATCATTATTATTATGATATAGAACAAATGCTCTCCTGTAAATTTGATCTTCAGATTAATACACGTTTGTGTGCTTACAGTATCTATCATTACTGCAACCTTATTAATATTCATGAGCTGCATCATGATGTCACAGACAGTCGGTCAGCGGCCGCGACACTAATTCTGGATGTTGGTTTGCTTGTCTGTTCAGCGCTGAAGTAAATCAGGTCAGATGAAGGACTCGCAGCAGCTCCAGTTCAGTTGTTCTGAATGCAGATCCTGCAAACAGAAGCTTTTTTAACTCACCTTCACTGTCCTTAAACTTCTTAATGGCCACGATTTCATTAGTCTCCTGCGAGAGAGAAAGAGACAGAACGTGAAGACGAACAACCATTCACAAGTTTGCTGTCAGTAAGATTATTTAGAAAGAACTGAATGTTTTTATTCAGCAAGGATGCATTGAATTGATCAAAAGTGACAGTAAATACATTTAGAATGTTATAAAAGATAATGTTTCTATTTCAAATAAATGCTGTTCTTTTGAACATTCTAAAATCCTGAAAAATAAAATGTATCACAGTTTCCACAAAAATATTGTGCAGCACGACTGTTTTCAACATTGATAATAATCAGAAATGTTTCTCGAGCAGCAAATCAGCATATTAGAATGATTTCTGAAGATCATGTGACACTGAAGACTGGAGTAATGATGCTGAAAATACAGCTTTGATCACAGAAATAAATGATATTTTAACAGATATTCACATAGAAAACAGCTGTTTTAAATTTTCATATATTTTACCATTTTACAGCATTTTTCTGTATTTTTTTTATTAAATAAATGCAGCCTTGGTGAGCAGAAGAGACTTCTTTCCTCAAATGTTTTTAATGCTAGAGGACTTTAGCAGATGCTTTTATGATTAGCCAGTGAATCGCTCTCGTCACTAACGTCACTGACAGTCACTGCTGTTCTTACAGTTCAGTTAAAGCTGGGTTCCTAATAAATGTTGAGCAGATGGTTAGCAAACATATGGAGACTAACTCAGTAATCCGCATTTTTACTCACAATATTCTTGGCGAGTGTTTTTGACTGTGTGTGTGTGTGTGTGTGTGTGTATGTGTGAGGAGAACTAAAGGACTCACACACACTCTCTCTTTGGCCTATTTTACACTCTCTGTGTCTCTGTATCCTCACAGCATCCTTCAGTGCTCCAGATTCACGTTTTACAGAAAAACAGACTCCTACAGATGCAGCTGACGCACAGAAATACAGCTCACCAACACTGAGAGCATGAAAAACACGGCGCTGTGTGTTCATACGTGTGTTTGCTCCCTCAGGCTGTGTGCTTGCTTATGTTGAACACAAACTGATCACAGGTGCTGCAAACGCTGACGACGGCATATTTATTAACCTCACACACTCACGCAACGACCTCAAACACAACACGCACGCACACACACACACACACACAGACACACACACACATGCACACACACGCACACATACGCAGACACACACACACGCACACGCACACACACACGCGCACACAGACACACACACACATGCACACACACGCACACATACGCAGACACACACACACGCACGCAGACACACACCCGCGCACACACATACGCGCACACATACGCACACACACACACACACACACGCACAGACACACACACACACGCGTTTAGAGACGGAAAATGTTCAGAATAGCATAAAATGACTGTATTTCTGCAGTATATAGTATGCAAACTGGGAATAGTATGCAAATACAGTACTATATTTGGTCAAATGTGTCGTTCATAATCAAGAGACATTGCACTGTATCCCACAATGCAATGTGCTAATCTCTGCCTTCTTCCAGAGTGAAGAATGAACTAGAAACTTTTTTTTTTTTATAAATACATTTTAAAAATATGTTTATTAATTTTATTTCAGTTTGAGTTATTTTAGTTAAACTAATTGAAAATGAGAAATGTTGCCTTAACAACTAGCTGAAACTAAATACGTTTTAATTTTATTTTTTAAATTATTTTAATATTACAAGTTTAAGTTTTTTTTATATTTTATTTCAGTTAAAAGTATTTTATTTCAAGTATCACATTTTTTTATGTTTATAGTTTATTTACCTAGTTATTTAGTTAACTGTTCAAAAGTTTGAGGATTTTTTTGTTTTGTTTTGTTTTTGAAAGAAGTCTCTTCTGCTCACCAAGACTGCATTTACTTGATCAGAAATACAGTAAAAACAGTAAAATTATGAAATATTACTTCAGACGCGGGTCAAAGGTCACAGGTGTTTACACCTGTTCAGATATGAGTGACTGACAGCTCTTCAGTGACCTCTGACCCCTGCCTCACCTCCGTCAGAGTGTAATACTTGAGCTGTCAAACATAAAAAATTACCAGAAAAAGCAGCATAAAACACTCCAGGCTCCTTCATGACACCATACAGGAGGATTTGACTGGATTATTAATGACTAACGAGTCTGTGAAGAGACACACACGTAACAGGAAGTTGAAATGAGGACAGATGAATGAAAGAAGAAACACAGGAAGCACACATGAAAAACACGGCACAAACAAAACTCAGCAAACGAGAAGAGGACGGGAATATTTGTGTGCAATGAAAGCCACACATACACAGATATTACATTCACATGAAAGATGCTCAGAATATAAACATCTTACAATAGAGTTCACAAATGACTATATTCATATTCGACGAGCTGTTCCAGAGAAACTGACGACTGGAGATACTAATAAAACCATCATGAAATTGCCCATCAGAGTAAAGCGGCAAAACAAAATGCTGGGAAAAAACGAAACCATTAAATGTTCAGATTTTAAATCAATATCTCGAAAAGTTTGCATACTTTAGTGAAATCAAAATACACTTGTTCATTCACACGCTTAATGCAAAATATATGCAAAATATCAAGCATATTTGCCAGTTCCAGACACATGATCTGAATACTATATCTTATTTGTTGATGAATGATTAAAAAAGACGTGGAAAAAAAGAAAAGGAACATAAAAAAAAATGCTGAACAGCTATTTTTTTCTCCTGATAGGATTTATGAAACACATTTTTCAAGACTGAGATTAAACGTAAAGCACTGAGATGCAGTGACTTTAATTTGTGTTATTTTAGTATCACTGATATACTTGTCAGGGTTGGGGATGAAGGATGGAGCAAGGACTCAATATTGTGGGAAGATAAGGGCTTTATTAAAGGCAGAACCAAAATAAACAACAAAAACTACACCGTGGGGGAAAAACAGGCTGGCAAGGCTAGGCAAGGCTAGGCAAGGCAGGATCTGGACACGACGCGACACGACACAACACGACACGACACGACACATCCAGGGAGATACGAAGACGAACTGGCCCGGGACTGCAAACACAAGGAGAATAAATGGAGAGCAAATTTGGGAGGCGCCGGCAGGGCAAGGAGCTTGGGAGGCGCCGGCAGGGCAAGGAGCTTGGGAGGCGCCGGCAGGGCAAGGAGCTTGGGAGGCGCCGGCAGGGCAAGGAGCTTGGGAGGGTCTGGGACGGCCTCCAGGCCATGTGGGATGGAGGAAGCCCTTTTCCTCCTCCTCCGTTTCCGAGAGCGGGGCACTGCAACTTCGTTGGCCACCTCTGGGGGCGCAGCAGCCTCTTCAGCCACCACTGCGGGCACTCCAACCTCATCAGGCACCGCTGGGGGCGCTGCAGCCTCATCGGCCACCACCGGGGGCGCTGCAGCTTTGTCGGCCTCCTTCGGGGGCGCTGCGGCCTCTTCGGCCGCCTCATGGGGAGCTGCAGCCTCTTCGGCCGTCTCTAGGGGCAGTGAGGCGGACCCATTCTTCCTCCTCCCCCTCCTCAGTCTCCGAGAGCAGGGCAATGAAACCGTACAGACAATACTAGTATAGTTTTTGTTAATATTTTGAATTAGATTTCATTTTTATATTTTCTGTTGTATTTATGCTGTATTTTTGTCATTTGTATTAGTTGGGGTTTTTAGTTTGCATTACAAAATACACCACTTATCTAAACCACTACCACAAACAAAGGCACTTTCAAAAATAAAATTAAATAAAATTAAATTAAATAAATAAAATTAAATAAAATTAAATAAAATTAAATAAGTATATCTGCTGTTAAAAAAATTAAAATAAGGCATTTACTTTGAACAAAGGCACTTTCAAAAATAAAATAAAATAAAATAAAGTATATCTGCTGTTAAAAAAATAAAAATAAGGCATTTACTTTGAAATAAAATAAAAAATACAAAATAAATAAATAAATAAATAAATTCAGCTGTTAATAAACTAAAATAAGGCACTTAAAATAAAATAAAAACTATAACAAAAACTACAAAAATAAATTATGCTGTTTATAAAATAGAAATAAGGCCCTTGCAATAAAAACTATAACAGAAAAGCTAACTAAATGAATGAATAAACTGTGCAGTGCTGCTTGTGTTTGAGCCTGATAAGATGATGGACTGAACTGGTTTATCTGAGAGCGCAGACAGACTCCAGATCAGCCTGAAGGGTCTGGAGCTCCAGAAGCCCCGCAGGCTCTTATTAAAGCTGCACGCCGTCCCCGCTGAGCCAAAACTACAGGCCACACAACGGGAATTAGCATGTCATGCATATTCATAGCTCACACACACATGCCGGCTCCTGATTGGCCGAGCCGAATGGAACCTCGCTCAGATGAAAGAAACCAATCCAAACGATGAGAGAGCCGTCGGCGAACGCCCGCGCTATTTCCATCTCTCTGACAGCGTGACGCCAGTGCTCTTCAGCAGCACCGCGCGCACACACAAGTGGGAGACATTAGCGTGTTTATTAGAACAGGTGAGGTTTGCGGAGATCAGACTGTCAGAGGTCAGATAACTAGCTTCTGCCTCTCGTCTCATCCTCGTTTCTCTCAAACGACTCAAGTGACCCATTTTCTGCTCTCTTCATAACAGCTCGCCTCCTTCATGCTAGTCTGTGGACGTCTGATCATCTCAACTTCACCCTAATGAACACTGACTGAAAATAAATCTGTCATTTATTACACAGATTATTAAATGAAAGCCTTCACGTGCTTCTAATTGACCTATATTTGCATTTTGCAGCAGTAAGAGTTTCATGTTTTCTGTTGTTTCTTCGTCACATTAAAATGACAGCTATATATTATTAAATAGATGCACAAAATCAAACACAGTTTATTATGTAAATCTATGCATGTTATGAAATCGCTGTCAGCCAGAGTTTTGAATGCTAATTCTATTCAGTTGGAACATTTCACATTTTAAACGTATTTTTTTCTCAAAGTATAACTTTTATATTTTAAAAGAGAAAAAGCAAAATAAA